TCGTTTTTCTTAACTGTTGTGGACTCGTATGCCAGATACTCTTAGAGGTAGTTTCTTATTCATTCCAACCATCTTTATTAGGTGCCAACTGCACACTAGGCTGTGTACAGGTACTAAAAGCTTTTGTCAAGTGCAAGTGCTCTCCTTTATACTAAAAACAGAAAACAAAAAAGGATTGAAAATGTAGATTCTCTTGGACTAAATGGTAAATGAGGCTAATCTCCCCTCACCCCCATTTTAAGGCAACAGCCAGATACCAATGGGTATGCTTTAGAAACCTCCAAACATGACCTACCAATGCCTTGGAGAATGAGCGCAGTTTACTATTTGCTATATAAGAATCTAGCCTCATGTCAGTGCAAGAGGCCAATGACATGCCCCTCCGTCATCCTCACCGCTTCCCCAAACACAGTCAAACCCTGCCCCTTTGCACTTTATACAGAAGGTCCTATGTGCACTCCCACTAAGGGTGGTTTCTCCTTCTCTACCCATTAGGTGACATTTTGTTGAATGTGAATGGGATTGAACTAACAGAGGTCAGCCGGAACAAGGCCGTTGCATTATTGAAAAGCACATCCTCCTCAATGGTTCTTAAAGCTTTGGAAGTCAAACAATGTGAGTCTCAGGAAGAATGCAGCAGTCCGGCAGCCCTGGACTCCAACCACAACACAGCCCCACCCAGTGACTGGTCCCCCTCCTGGGTCATGTGGCTGGAATTACCGCGGTGAGTCCCAATGTGACATCCTAGGGGAGGTGCAGGAGGAAACAATTATATTTTTTAGACACTCTTCCACTCTCTTGAGATGACTCATGGCACTAGCATCTTAATGAACCCCGGGCTTGGATGTGGGACTATCTGAAATAATTGTCTTCCCTTTTGTAACTGAAATTGCATGCAGAAATCATAGGGCAGGGACAAAAGCCTGGACGTGGAAACACTATTAGGCATCCACCATGAGGCACTCCCAGGTCTGCCACGTACAGTTATTTCAGTTGTTTATGCAACTGGGAGCTCAGCTGATAGGGAGAGGAGACTGAATGCAGGGTATTCACACACTGGGGAGCAAGGGCAGGTTCACCTTTCCCTAATTTGCTAGAGGCACAGACCTAGTAACTTGCATGGAGGATGACTCCCATCTGTGGTTTACCTCTAGCTTTGAGGTGGCCCTGGCTAACCCTAAAGCAACGCAGACACCTTGCCTTCAGCCACATTTACACGTGTGTTGATTGAGAAAGCATCTCATCTTCTCTCCCTAGTCCTGCTCTTGTGAGGTTCTTGTACATAATTTCAGGAAGCAGCAGGGCTGTCATTTTAGTGAGATGTAACTAGAGCCTTATAGTAAAGCTGTTTGTCTCTACATACAGACACTCCAGGAAAGGCTTGGGAGGGTAGTCTTGCCAAATGGCTGTACACAGAAATTAAATATTCAGTGGACAGATAAATTGGGCTTTGCTCATCTGCATCAGAGCATAAACTCTTGGCCTTCAAACAATCCTTACTAATTCCAAATGCATGAAAGCAGGATGTTTGGTTTTAGTACATTTCTCTTGAGGGTGGAGATAAGTAGGTCTATTGTTTTCTTTTAAAAAATTTTAAATGTTGATTCAAAAAACCCATCCCTGACTCAAATACAAACTGACCTAGATTCCTTTATGAGCCTTCAGTAATTGATAAATTTTAAATGAGTACATTTTCAAACAGCTGAAAACTGAGCATTGAGGCAGTGTAAAAATCTTTAAACATTTTAGAACTGAACCTAGGTGGAAGAGAGTATTACTTTTATTGCTATAAAAATATTTTTGAAACTGCCATCTAATATAGATCATTTTTTGTGGTTGTGCTTTATTTTATCATATAATAAAGGTTCACGTAAGATGGGACAAATGTGAGCAGCTTTTTACTCCAAATACGACCCAGTGAATGGCTTTCTTTCCCCCGTCACTTGGTCATGGGCGAGCACCTCCCTGCTCGTGAACATTCTCTTTAGGAGAATAATCGGGATTTTGCTCATTTCCTTTAAAATAGGAGACGGGCAGTGTGAAATAGTGCCAGCAAAGATACCACGGGTCTTCAGTCACCCTAGCAGTTCTGTTTCCTTCATCTCCTTCTCTCCTGGCAGTAATTTAACACCCACAGTACAAAATGCAGAGGGCACCAAAGGATATAGAGTGAAAGGCTGTTTCCCACCCCAGTCCCCTCAGATATGCTCTTTAGAGGTAACCTCGGTCACCACTGCCTTTGTATTTTCCAGGGAGTATCTATGTTAGGGAAGTGAGTGGGAGGGAGGGAGGGACAGACAGACATACACATCGATTGGATCGAACCTGCAACCCAGGTACGTGCCCTCGACCATAATCAAACCCATGACCCAACTGCTGAGCCAAACCGGCCAGGGCTGCTTTGCTTATTTTAATCTGTCCTTCCTTCCACTTCTTTCTCAAGTCTTCCTTGAAATCTTTTATCTCTGCATTGATTTTTCAGTGTAATTACTTCAGAAGTAGTTTAAATTCACAGTAACATGGTTGTTAAAATTTCATTTTCTATAGCAGCATTTTTCTGGTGAGTGGTTTTGTTTTTTTTTTTTAAATGTTACTGTTATTACTGTTACTCCCATTTTTGTAGTGTCTCTCTGCTGATTCTTTTTCAACTGTGGAGTTAGGTAAATGTTTCCTGGAGGAGCTAGGTGGGTTTATTTACTTCTCCCAAACCAACTAAGATCAGCCTTGCTGGGCCACTCCCAGAGCCAGTCTCTCCTCTACCTAACCACACTGACAGGCTACTTCCTGTTTGTTTGGGTTATTACCTCACTTAGGCCCTCTCTGCCGCACTGGGCCCAGGGACGCTCTGCTAACAGCCGCCTATTTCTGGTGTTCCCATGTGGAATGGGTACTGCCTATCAGTGGACCACTTACTATGGCCCCAGGGCTCTACAGGCTTGGACTGCACTCTCCAGCTGTGGGCATTCCCTCTGGCCTCCTCCCTTTGACTTGAACTGCTTTTGGAAGTTCTCTCCCATATACAGTGACTCGGTTTTAAGATGGAGTTCGCATTTCTATTTTCAAGTTTCCTAGTTGCTTATTTAGTAACTTTTTTAAAGCAGAAAGGATACAACTAAAATAGGAATATCAATTATGTATTTTCACAATCATGCTGCACACCAACCAGCTGTAAAACCTCAGTAGCAAGTAACCATATAAACACATATTTAGCTCATGAGTGTGTGGGGCTCAGCTGATTCGGACTAGGCTTCGCTGATCTTGGCTGGCTCACTGTGCAGTCCTCTCTGGGTCATTTAGGTAGTTCCACTGATCTTGGCTGGCCATGCTTATGTATCTAGAATTTGGCTGGTTGTGGCAAAAATCCCAGTGATGCTCTCTTATGGCTGAGTCCATTATCAGAATAGGAAAACAACACAAAGTTATGCAATCAGATGTGGGTATGAAGAAAGGGTGACCACTGCAAATTATTTTGCCACGGTAAGGAAGAATGAAGAGAGGTTACTTGTTTCGAACTGTTGAGTTTGAGGTACTAATGAGACTTAAACATGTCTAGAGCAGAAATTCCCAAAGTTGTCTCAAGACCCCTATACACATTTACAAAGTAATGATGATCCCAAAGAACTTTTGTTTATATCTAATGATATTTACCTTATGAATTAATCTGAAGAATTTTTTATTTATTTAAAATAACATACCCAATTATGTTAACATGATGTCTTTTATGAGAAAAGCAGTATTTTAAAAAATCAGTGAGAAGACACTGTAGTTTTTGCAAACCTCTTTAATGTTTGGCTTAATAGAAGATATAACTGGACTCTCATACCTACTTCTGCATTCTGTCTGTTGCCAGATCACCTATCACGTGTTATGTGGAAAAAGGCCACTGTATGCTCACAAGAAAATGAGTGAAAAGGCAAATATCATCTTGCTATTGTGATAAAATATTTTTTACCTCCAGACCTGAAAGGCACATAATTTGAGCGCCACACTTTGTTAATGTAGGGGCTCAGTGAAATATTGAGGTCTGCTGAGAAGTGGGCTGAGGAAAGGGGAGCCCTTGAAGAAACATCCAGTGAAAGAACAAAAAATATGTAGCAACCAAAGACTTCATCATTCGTATCAACGCCTTCCAAAGCAGTTTACCTCAAAAATAATTTAACCATAGTTTTCTTTTTTGGAAAAATTACCAAACTCCTTGCTATTCTTTATACATTGCACAAAATCTTTAATTAGGCCTTGAATGAGTTCAGAATGGGAAAAAGCTCACGTTAGTGTAACAAATGTTACTAACATCATCGTTTAACAAAACATTTCACGAGACTTTTTATTGGTTTTTCAAAAAGCAGTTAATATTTTAAGGTACAGCTTATAAACAAGACAGTATCGTGGTCTTTTTGTTAACATAAAAATGTTCCTTTCTTTCAAACCAGTTTCTGGCCTGGGGAACTGTAGAGCCCAAGTCTATCCTAACACAGTTTGCACTTGGCCTGCATGTATGTTAACACTGATGCAACTGCCAATGAATAGTAAAGAAATAGTTTCTTCAATCCATATTTCTATTTTAGCTGAGGATTCTACTCATTTACAGAAGAACTGCAGTCTCTCCTTGTCCTATTCTTTTTATAACTTGCTATTCCACTTACTGCCAGTTTTCTCTCCGCCAATATGAATCATTATCTCTAAATGTACAATTTCCCTTTACTTTATGCCTACATGTGTCTCTAACCTTCATTAAACATGTGGAACTACACAAACTAATATTTTCAAAGTCAAAATTTCAACAAATGCAGTAATTAGGGTAGGTTTAAATGTTTTTCACTGAGATTATAATCATTCATTCAAAGAATTTTGTGTTCTTTAAAAATTATATCTATACACCTTAGCTGGTGTGGCTCAGTTGGTTGGAGCACTGTCCCATACAACAGAAGGTGGCGGGTATAATTCCCAATCAGGGCTCATACCCAGGTCGTGGGTTCAATCCCTGGTCAGCATGCGTGTGGGAGGCAACTGATTGATGTTTCTTCTCTACCTCTCTTCTTCTGAGATCAATTTAAAAAAATTGTATCTACAGAAAATAAAAGTGACATCCATTAGTATGCTTGACTTTGGTTCACTAATAAGGATTTATGCATATCTAACTTTTTAATATATATTGAAGCATTAAATAGTTCTTTAAGCCAGAACTATGATTACTCTTCCCCATAGACAAATAAATGAAACTTAACAGATGGTGTCATTTTTTTAAAGGGTGTTTAACAATGGAAAACAGAAATTCAATTATAAAAAGCAAGGTAACAACACAAAGGTCAATGGGCTATGAAACACTCTGAGTGAGACCCATCCAGTGCTATCTACCTAAAAAACAATGCCAATAAAGGAAATGGGAGATGAATCACAATAATTATTAACTATGAGTTCAACTCAACTGCTTATATATTGATTACATTCTATTTCAGGTACCTGTGTAACTGTAAAGATGTTATATTACGAAGAAACACAGCTGGAAGTCTGGGCTTCTGCATTGTAGGAGGTTATGAAGAATACAGTGGGAACAAACCTTTTTTTATCAAATCCATTGTTGAAGGAACACCAGCATACAATGATGGGAGAATTAGGTAATAATAACTTTAATCAAAAAAATTATATTCAAATATTGTTTTATACATGTAAAAGCTTGGCCCCACTTGGAAAAAAGGCATGTATTTTATTGGTGAGAAATCCAAAATGATTATAGAGTTACTTGGTCCCATACAGCAACTTACTTTATACTTTTAGCATCCCTTCTAATGCAAGCTGAGTGGATCAAGAGTTTGCAGAATTTAAGTGAGGAAGGGAGGGGAAAAAAAAAAAAAGAGAAGTCATGTAATTGAAATGGACAGATGTAGCAAAAATGAGGACCAACAAATAAATTTGAATTAGCTTCAGCTATGAATCAAAATGTTAATAATTTTTTTTTTTTTTTAGATGTGGTGATATTCTTCTTGCTGTCAATGGTAGAAGTACATCAGGAATGATACATGCTTGCTTGGCAAGGATGCTGAAAGAACTTAAAGGAAAAATCACTCTCACTATTGTTTCTTGGCCTGGCACTTTTTTATAGGATTAATGATGTGTCATGGAAAAACACAAATAAGTTAAATTGAAACAATGTATTTATCTTGTCAATTTTTGTATTTAAAGGATACATTATAAAAATGTGAACTTTGATGTCAGCAAAAGTATCATCTAATGAAAGCTAATTACACCTCAGAAAATATATGATTCTCAAAACAACATTACTAATAGTTTTTATTCAGTGTGGAGGATTTTGCATCACTCTAAGTTTATATTTTTCTATTTAATAAAAAGCTCTTAAACAGCTGAAATGGTTTGTATGCCCTCAAATGAATTCAAATCATACAATTAAAAACCTGGTATATGCTGAGGTCTTCAAGGGTACATTATGGGTATTTTAAAAACAATTTACAGCCAGAGGATTTTAAAAGTGCATTGCTGAAAAATGTTCCTTTCATCAAATGAGAAATAAATATTTTTAAAAATTATAGTTGTCTTTAAGTATGTGATACTAAGTTCATTTCTATTATCACTATTTAAAAGATCCTAGTAATTCTTTCAAAACCATGTTGTTATCATCACTGACAAATACCTTCTAAAAGTTAACCCTGAAAATGCTCACAGAATTACAAACTTATTTTTTCTTGGATTTAATAGGAGATAACAAAAGCTCTTGTCACTTATATAGTGAGTAACTACATTAAAAAATCTGTATGCTGTTCAACCAATAAGCCTTGGGAAAAGCATCAAGAAAAGCCAAACCAGCTTGATCATGGCTCATCTCGATAGCCATGAGGGAATTCAAATTTGTGTCAGTGATGAGTGTCCATGTGCCTGCTAGAAACTACACTTACCCTAAGTTACTTCACAGAGGCCACCCAAATACCATTAGACTTATTATTTATTTTAGATATAAAAATTCCCCCATTCAATTTCACCATGAACCTAATTTAGGGTGAAAAACTGCTATCAAAAAGTTGTGATATTAAAACTGTATGAGTTCTTTAATATGCTAAGCAACAGTGCCACAGCAGTAATGATAAAAGACTAGTTTTAATCTCAAGACTCACAGGTGCCCGTTGCAGTGCAACCTCTTAGTATTTGATTAACTCAAGAAAACTATGGCCAAGGTGGAACCCTGACCTTTATCAGATACTGGCATGTACACAGCTCTTTAAGTTCCCTGCTGAGTGACTCATTCACATTACTTGCTTGGATATAAAGTCATTGCTATCTTATTTTTTAAATATTACAAAACAAAGATTTTTAACTTAACATGAAAAATTCACTCTTTTATTTTGGAAAGATTTTATACTAACAGAAGATTAAAGGTAAATTTCTTAAACATTATCCAGAAAAATAAACAAGATTTGTATCTGTTTCTGGCACTAGTATGCACAAAAGCTGATACCACGCCTATTCTGCAGGTGCAGCTTCGGTGCTCTCCTGCTCAGGGGCAGGCTCACTGCCAGCTTCTTTTCCTTCTTTGCTTCTTTTAGATTTTTTGTGCTTGTGTCTCCTGTGACTGTCTCCTTCTTCACTTTCATGGCGACGTCTACTATTACTGAAAAAAAGAAAGATGTGTTAAAAAATTTAATACATTATTTTTTCTCCAACACATTTTGAGAAGTAATCAGTTTTGTGACTTTTATGCTAAGATTATATTTACATTATAGGCTCAACTTCACCAATATCATCCTAGATTTCCAGGGACCATATACTTTATCAAATTATAAATTAGAAACTGTCCCTGGCCGGATTGGTAGAGAGTCAGCCTACAAACCACAGTCCTGGGTTCAGTTCCTGCTAAGGGCAACCAGTCAATGTCTCTCTCTCTCTCTCTCTCGCATCGATGTTTCTCTCTCACTCTCTTTTCCTCCCTCTCTCCCTCCTGCTCTATCTGAAGATAAATGCAAAAATGTCCTCGGTGAGAATAAAAAAAAATAACAAAAATAAATGAGAAACCGAAGTTTCTAGGATTGATTTTAGGCAAAAATAGGCCTTAAAATTTCTATGCTTTTAGACTACAAGGCCCCGAATTTTCTTTGATTAAACTACTTTAATAATATTTACTATTAAAAGATTGGTTCATGTGCCAAATTCCCCCCTCCCAACAAGATAATTTAATAAGCCTAAATCTCTCATATATTATTTTCTATTCCATGCTAATTTTAATTTACTGGTATTAAACATAGTCTTGTTAGATTTAAAAACTCTTGTTAAAGCCTATAAGGAACCAAGTATTTCAACAGATTACTCTTAATCTTCCAATTAGGAATGCATATGCTCTACTGGTTATTAGGACATGTTTGTTTTACTTCCCGAAGTCAAATCACTTTCTCTCTCAGCTTCAAAGTGATTCACTATTTTATTAAAGAATAAACCTTCGAGATGACTTGTGTCTGGTTTCCTCTTTCTCTCTGTGTCGTCTCTCTCTGTGCCGTTCTTCTTTCTCCCGACTTGCTCTATGACGCTCATAGCCTCTTTCCGCATACTCCCTGTATCTGTATCGTTCTTCATCACTGAAATTGGAACAGAAACAACTTTTATTGACAACTGGACTATTAATACTGAAGATTTCAAACTGTAAAAGAAGAGATGTGACCTGAGTCTAAAACAGAAGCCCCAATGTTAGCTTCTTATAGATAACAGATGCAAAATATTTGTTGAACTGAGAAGGAAACAATGCCACTCACAAATTAGTACTAAATCTAATACAAGAATACAAAATATATAATAATTACATATGTTAAGGGACCAATTTTTTTCTGTACTTTCAACTGTTGTAGGGTAGAAACTTTATACAACAATGCTGTTTTTCTTCAAATATTGGGAGCTGTAACTGATTTACATTTTAATCAGCTTTCCTTTCCTTTTAGAATTAAAAGCATGTTTGTGTATTTCAGATATCCAATCAAAATTCTTATATTACTTGTAAAATCTTGGGCACAGTTAAGACTGTAAAAATATACTTAAAATATGTGGCTCACAATGGCTACATAGTAGAAAGTAGATAGAGGTTCTTAAGTTTTTCAATCACATAAAGAGTATATTCATCTAATAAAGAGGTATAGAAATGAAAAACAGCCCTGGCCAGTATGGCTTAGTTGGCTGGAGCACCGTCCCTTACACTGAAAGGTCATGGGTTTGATTCCCAGTCAGGGCACATACCCAGGAGGTTGCAGGTTTGATCCCCAGACAGGGTGCATATGGAGGCAACCAATCAATGTTTCACTCTCACATTGTTTGTCTTTTTCGCTCTTCCTTTCCCTTTCTAAAATCAATAAAAACATAACCTAAAAAATTATAAAGAAGCAAACATACATATCCTAGGGTGAAAAATCATTAAAAAAAAGAAGAAATAAAGAACAGAGAGACATCAAGGCAACTTCTACAATATCCACACAAAATGCAGGCAAAAAGCTGCCTGTGGACATACTTGCATTCTGACATCCCAATTAGATAATATTATACATGTGTGTGGTGAAAAGAAAGGATTCACGTGTCTAACAATTTCAAGTGCATAAGCATAAACTGCACCTCCATGTCCTGACTTTGGATAGAACGGACTGGTAAACTGAGACTGATGACGAGTCTTTACCTCCCTAGCCCTGTCCTCTTTTCACGCCCTTCACTGACGTTCTTCTTTCCATCTTTCTCCTAATCCTTCAAGTCTCTTATTTTCTCTTTGTTCAGCACAGAAGTCGATACTTTCTACAATCTAATATCAGTAAATTCACTTAGAAGGAATAAATATATCTTTTAAAAGAGCACTGTATGGTGAAGAGAGACCTGGTTTCTAGAAATATATACAAATTATTAATTTGTCTGAAGCATCAAAGTGTTGAGTGATCTAAGTGGGAGTAAAAAGACAGAAGCAGGTGAAAGTATAAGCCATATCAAAGAACAAACCAGCCCGTGGCCTCTTAGAAAAACGTAATGCCCTGGCCTGTTTGGCTCAGCAGTTAGAACGTCGGCCTGCGGTACAGAGAGACACAGGTTTGGTTCCTGCTATGGGCGCAGTTTGTCCTTGGCCCTGGTTGGTCGTGCGGGTGGCAGCCACTCAATGTGTCCCTTTCACATTGATGTTTCTCTCTCCCTCCCTCCCTCCCACTCTACCTGAACAAAAAATGAAAAAATGTCCTTGGGTGAGGATAAAAAAAAAAAAAAAAGTAATGATTCTGCAACACTATGCCTAATGCAAGTCATACTGCTGACCAAGTTATTATTGCTTTGATACATTACATTTTAAAAACATTTTATGAAAACAAGAAAGTGTATTACTATACATATATACCTGTGTGTATACGCCTGTGTATACACACACACTTTTCCCCCTAACCATACATACGCACTTTGTGTATGGAAGGTGGAAGCATGTCACCTGAAAGGCAATGTGCCCGACAAGGTAGAGTAGTGGGAAAAGTACAGGCAGAGTAGGCTCAGGATCACATGCTGGTTCTACTACTTACTAAATGTGTGTCCTAGGATAAGTTAACCAAACTCTGTAGGCATCAGTTTTCTCATCTATAAAATCGGCAACAATCTTTTCTAGGGTTGTTGTGGAATTGGAAACAGCATTTATAAAGTGCTTGGTACAAGAGAAGGCCCTCAATAAATGGCAGTTGACATGCAGGCTCAACATCATCTGTAAATTTAATGCTAAAATTTTTCAGAAGTAGAACTATTTTTGTATAGGTGACTGACCCTCTAATAATTAATGATTCTGAAGCAGAATGAATTAGCACGCACCAGGACAAATGAATATTGTTGTTAATATTATCCTCTTAAAAAATGAGGCTGTCTTTGTAATGATTCCAACTGGGTTTACATTAAAACAACGTCAATTATCTCATAATTTGTCATTTGTAACCTTCTCAACCTAACACCAATTCTTGATAGCTGAGGCCTTTTAAGATTCTCAAGGTAGCCATATGATGGGAATCTTACTACAGATACAGATTTGGTCTCATATATGAAATGTAAATACCTCTTTTTTTTTTTTTTTTATCCTCAGCCGAGGACATTTTTCCATTTTTTGTTCAGATAAAGTGGGAGGGAGAGAGAAGGAGAGAGAGAGAGAGAAACATCGATGTGAAAGGGACACATCGAGTGGCTGCCACCCGCACAACCCAACCAGGGCCGCACAACCCAACCAGGGCCGGGGACAAACTGCAACCGAGGTACGTGCCCTTAGTGGGAACCAAACCCAGGTCTCTCTGGACCACAGGCCGATACTCTAACCGCTGAGCCGAACCGGCCAGGACAATACCTCTTCTTATAACCCCTTCTTTGATAAGCAGCTGCAGCACAAACGTTTCTCTGGGCCTGGAAATCATTAGAGTTCATTCAAATACCCTTGAACAAACAGACTTTCATTCTGGCCCACAATTAAGTGACCTAAAGACCAGATGAAATTGGTCTTTAATTTTCAAAACAATGACCCTGTAATTTGTGACACAACACATACTACATGCCATATTGCTAAAACGTCAGTCTTCCCAAAAAAGGGTGGGGGAGGGTGCTTTACTTATACTTCACTTGGATTTTCCAGAGAACACTTTAGTCTTAGGATAATTAAGAACACAAAATTCCTCCACCTTTTGCCTCTGTGGCCTTGAACTTTTAGTCAGATTTAGGTAAACACTGACTTCCGATGCCCTACAACATAGCAACCTGGAAATTAAATGCGGTTTAGCCATTAACACTTTAGTTACAATAAAAATTAAGTAGCACTTGTCCATGTGTATTTGAAATTTAATTAGAGAATTTAGCCTCAAATATTCTATAAACTTTATATTATTTATGTTTATTCAAAGAAAATGTATGAGCTCTAACAAAGCCATTCCTTTTAGTCCTTTCCTATCAAGTTTTGCATTAAGTTCCTTCACTTGTGAATATGGACATTCTAGAGATAGCAGTGTTACTTCAAATATCTTAACTACATTAGAAACAATTTAACTTTCTGGAAAGTAATGCTCAAACTTAATCATGCTGACCTACCTGGCTAAAGTTAACAGCCCATTTCCCACCACATAAACACAAAACATATACTCACATACATGTATCATACCTTACCTTATTTAGTGAATAAAATTTTATCAGATGCCTATGAAGTATAAATCGTTGTATTAGGAACTACAGGAAGGAAAAAGATGAATAAACCCTGTCCAGCTTCTTATTGCACACTGTTTTAAGTTTTAAACTACTAACCAGTTCTAATTACCTTGACAATATTATATGGTTAAATCTGTAAGGGCAATATATGAATAATTCTGTATCCTCGGCACACAGCTCTGTGTCTGGTACATAAGAGGGGCTCAGAAAATGTCAGTTACATAAATGAAAGAATGAATTGCCACTTCCCCTTCCCCTAAAATAGGGAAAAAAGAAAATCAAGTGCATACAGAGTAATAAAAAAAATGAGAAAACAACTTTTAAACTACTTTATTTCAAGACTAGAAAAGATTTTAAGACCTCAACCACATTTCCAGTAGAGTATGGCTCTACTATTGCCTTATATTTCTGTATGCTTCCATTTCCTCATCTGATAAATAAAAATTTAGACTAGATAATCCTTAAGGACCTTTTGGATTAAGAAGTCTATGATTAGATGATCACAACAAAATAATGCTGCTTGTATCAAGCATATGCTCTTATCCTGAATTGATAAATTGCTTCATCTTATCCAGCAAAATCAGAAAGCTATCTATGTATCTCGCATCACTAAAAATACTTGGTATAAAAAATTTATCTTTAACTTATTTCATTCTACATTGTGATAATACCTAGACTCATATAAGAAAAATACCCACATTAATGATCCGATTATGATAAAGGTTGATTTTTGTTCATTATAAAATCTTTATAGCTAAGAGTTTCCTCAATAGTTTTCAAAATTGTTTTTTCTCTATTGTATTCACCTTCCTCCCCTGAAAAATGTAAGTCATTTTATTCACTAACACATTCACTGTGTGCCAGGCATTAATTACTATACAAAGTGCTGAGGATACAGGAATAAAAAATGGTAGTCAGTGCCCCTAAAGAGACTTACTAAGAAAGACATGCTAAAGAAAATGCATAAGCCCTGGCTGGTTTGGCTCAGCGGTTAGAGCATTGGCCTGCGGTCCACACAGACCTGGGTTTGGTTCCCGCTAAGGGCATGCACCTCGGTTGCAGTTTGTCCCCGGCCCTGGTTGGATCATGTGGGTGGCAACCACTCGATGTGTCCCTTTCACATCGATGTTTCTCTCTCTCTCTCCCTCCCTCCCACTCTATCTGAACAAAAAACGAAAAAATATCCTTGGGGAAGGATTAAAAAAAAAAATTAAAAGAAAAGAAAATGCATAAAGTGTTTAGGGCACAAATGAACAAAATTAATTATTTCAAGTTCAGAGAAAAGCTCACAGAAGACAGATGTGAGCTAGACCTTGAAGAATAAATAAAATTCTGTGAGGCAGAGAGGTAAGAAACAACATGAACAAAGGAAGTATGAAACTATGAGGGATTTCCTCATAACTGAACAGCAATCAGTCTGGTGCAGCCAGAACATGCGGAGTACTGGCTTGGGAGATAACTGGGGTTAAAGTACAGAAAGGTACACGACTTGTGACTTGTAGATCATAAGAAGACTTAGAAATTTACTCTTTAGGCCAGTGGTACATGCCAGTCCACAGCAGTGTATGACTTCTTCCCAATAGCACAGAATGTTTTAGGGAATCAATTTCCAGATCTTGAACTTCTCTATTTAGTCTCTCCTAAATCTGAACAGCCTGATGATACACCTACAGGTAAAATATCATGTCACTTCTCCAGGTAACCTCTTCTCTTACAATCACCTTCCTGGCCCTTTACAAAATAAAGGCATTCCTTTAATCAATTTGACTATGGTACCTTGGCATAGGGTGTAAAAACCATCATGGCAGCAAACAGATTTAATTTATATTAGTGCCAGTGAGAACAATTTTATTCAAGGAACTACAAAGCATCTATGGGGCTTTAGGTTTTCCTATCTTATACACTGTTTAAGGACAAAGTATGGAGTAAGAAATGGGATTTCTAACTTCAGATATACTGTGGTGGGAGTCACATAAAGAATTTTCCTTGAACTAGTAAAAGCAAAAACAAAAATCCTTGTGAAGAAAAGCAAAGTGTTAGAAGGCAGCACCTTATTATAAGCTCTGTGACTATTTTGTTTACTAGATTTAGATAGGGCATATAGGTTAACTCATCTGACTGAACAGAAAAATGAAGCCAGACTTTTTTTCATCAGAAACGAAATGCAATTTGGCTGTCTGACTTGACAATGAAAGCAGTCTTTTACCAATTAAGTTACATGGTAGCTATTTTCCATAAATGGAATGAAGAAATCTGCATAGAATTGACTATTTAACACTCATAAAGGTGTTTAATTTTTTAAAGGTTGTTTTGTCCAAGATGTATTAACAGGATTTTGATTTTCCCCAACCTTTCTGAGCATATTAAGTTATACAACCGGTAACATTCTGACAAGTCTTGGTAAAACCCTTTTGGTACTCTTCCAAGAAACTGAGAAATCAAATTTTAATTACTAAATGAATTAGATTGAATTGTGTCACCCAAAAAGTTATGTTCCATTCCTAATCCCCAAGCCCCATGCCTGTAAAAGTAACCTTATTTGGAAGCGGGGTCTTTGCAGAAATAATCAAGTCAAGATGAGTTCATACTGGATTAGGTTGCACCGAAATTCAATGATTGATATTCTTATAAGAAAAGAGAAATTTGGACATAGATACAGAAAGACAAATGCCACATGAAGATAGAGAAAAAAACTGGAGCGATGCATCTATAAACCAAAGAACACCAAAGACTGCTAACAACCACAAGAAGCCAAGAGATAAGCATGGAACACATTCTCCCTCACAGCCTACAAAAACGAATGGACCCTGCTGACACCTTGATAATATCAGACTTCTAACCTCTAGACCTCAGAGTAAATGCCTGCTGTTCCAAGCTACTAGTTTGTGGTACTTTTTTTTACAGTAGTCCTAGGAACAATTACACTGAGTAACAAATGCTTTTATAAATGAGGTGGTTTCCAATTCTATGCTCCCCAAAAAATTAAATCATGAGCTGATAGAAGCTTAAAAATAACTTTTGACCATAGGTTAATTATGTACTTTTGGCATATCACTAAATAAATCTACAGGAGCTCAAGTAATTGAGTTAATACCGCCACAATAAAATTCCATCAATTCTCACATATTTTACGTGAACAAGGTTTCTCATCACTTACAACTATACATATGTATTTTAAAAAGGGATATAATTAATGGCAATGTTTTTTCCTAACATTAGTAATATTCACTCATACATACATATATTAATTGGGGATGTGCAAAAGCTCCGCTATCACATTAAGGAATGTAGTTCTATTAAATTGGTTTCAGAATTAACATTATAATTTTATGCATTTTAACTTACATAAGTATGTTGTAGAAAAGATTGAGAGAATGATCAATTACTTTGGGGAAAATAGCTCAGAAATAAGAATTCAACCAAAAAAAAAAAGAAATGTGTAATTTCCAACTGTTAAAGAAAGGCTATTTATGCACTTCTAAAAAATGGATGATGTTGTTTAGCAAAGCACTATAATGTTCTTAACCCATTAAATATATTGAAAGAGTGATAATTTTATTTTAAATTTATGTTTATAATACACTAGAAACTATAGATTGCCAACTATTTACATTTAAGATGAAAAATCTTAGATGGCAAGATATGTAAGGTGGTACAGTTTTAAAAATTCTTTTAAGGGAGAAGTGAACAGATCTGAAGATTGTTGCTTTAGCTAATGAGAAGCCCTATGAATTAAATAGCCTTGATGCTTTTAAAGTGGCTATCCTAAATAGTCTTCAAGCAATCCTTTCCCAACTGAATTGGATTTTCCATCCTATTATCAAATATAAATTCTAAAGTGTACATTAAATACATGTATACAAACTCCTGCACACTCAACAAACCTGTTGAAAACACTTGGTGTAGGACTGTGATCACGTTCCCGTTCCCGCTCTCTGGTACGCTCTCTTTCTCTGTCCCGATCACGATCTCGGTCTCGGTCTCTGTCTCGGTCTCGGTCTCTATCTCGGTCTTTCTCTCTTCTTGCATAATAGTCCCACTGCTTGCTGGTGTCCACAAGACTAGGCCATGAGGGAGCAGAACCAGGAAGGTGGGGAAAGGCAACTATAGAAAAAACAACAAAATATAACAATTAAAAAAACAAAAGTTTGGGCACTTAAAAAACAAAAGAAAACAAAAAAGCACTATAAAATAAAGACAAAACTCCCACCAAAAGTGCTTCCTCAGATGATAATAAAAACTATTTTATAACTAGAAAAGAGAAATGACATAGGGTGAATACACAGATTGGGGGAATATCCAGAAACAGACCTAACATATAAACACATTTTATTTTGCAAGGTGAACAGGAACCAAAAATAGATGCACTACAAACTTCCCCATATCAAAAACGTAAACCAGAATATTGAGAGAAAATGAAGGTCAACCAAGAAATGTATATTCAACAAATTACATTTCAAAAATAAGAAAAAAAACAACAAAGGCATTCACAGATAAACAAAAAAAATTAGCAATTATTCTAATCAACAGAGTCCAACAAAAGAATTTCTATCAGATAGATATATAATACATTTTAAGAGTAATCACTAAAGCCCTGGCCAGTTTGGCTCAGCGGTTAGAGCATCGGCCTGTGGTCCAGAGAGACCTGGGTTCGGTTCCCGCTAAGGGCATGTACCTTGGTTGCAGTTTGTCCCTGGCCCTGGTTGGTCGTGTGGGTGGCAGCCACGCGATGTGTTCCCTTCATATCGATGTTTCTCTCTCTCTCTTCCTCTCACTCCCTTCCACTCTATCTAAACAAAAAAATGGAAAAATGTCCTCGGGTGAGGATTTAAAAAAAAAAAAAAGAGTAATCACTAAAAAAAAATTTTATATGTGTGTGTGTATATATATACACATATATGTGTGTGTGTATATATATATACACACACATATATGTGCATATATATGGGAAAACACAATGTTTAAAAATCTACCAATTCAAAAAAGACTTGGAAAGCATGGGGGTAGGGTAGAAAAGTTTATTAACTCAACAATCAGAATAATATAAAAGGGACTGAATTCATCAGTTAATAACAGATTTTTTATTTGTACTTTGAAAAATTCTGATTATATTCTGAATATAAGACATAAAAACACATAAAATGGTTGAAAGTAAAAGACATGAGAAAGAAAATTATTAATACCCCTCAATCTACTTATGAGTAAGTATATTAATGACAAAGCCGACTCATACAGTACGAATCACCTGGGAAAGAAAGGGTAACTACATGAAGATGAAAAATGTTAACTCACCAAGAAGACAGAACACATTAAACTTCTAAGTATCTAACAACTTATGGAGAGTAAGAATAGAAACACAAGTAGAAATAGAAAAATCCGTAATTATCATGGGAGAATACCACACTTCTCTCAATTATTGATACTTTAAGCAGACAAAAATAGGTAAGATTTGAGCAATACACTGTTAATAAGGTTAATGAACACAAACGAATACTGCCTATAACAGTAAAAGAATACTCATTCTTCTCAAGTTCATATGAAACATTCATAAAAACATAGTATGTACTTACAGAGAACAAGTAAAATAAACACTATGTTCTCTGACCAACATGCAATTTAAATTAATAAAATTTTTAAATTTATGAGAAAACAATCTCCATACATTTCAAATAAGAAACACATTTCAAGTAACTCAGGTGTCAAAAATTTTTTTTAATCACTTAGGATTGAACATAAACATTCAACGTCTAGAGATGCAAACTTTCTGGAAGAAAATGTAATCTTTAAAAACACTACATTGGAAAAGATGGTACATAGTCCTTGGTCAGACAACAGTGTGGTAAAGGCCAGGGGAACGGTGGAGGCTAGGCAAATGGAGGGGTTGGGGGAGACATCCATAGTAGTGTCAACAACAAAAATACATTTTAAAGAGAAGATAGAAAATTAATGTGCTAAGATTCCAACTTAAGAACTTAGAAAAGCACAGAATAATCTAACAGAAGGGAGATAATAAAGATACAAGCAGAAATCAAGTAAGCAGAAAACTATTACACAATTAAAGAGGCTGAAAGTTGGTTTTTGAAAACCAAATAAAACATGACAATCTCTGACAAAACAGAACCAAACATAAACAATAAGAACCAAAAAGGGACCACAACTACAGATGTTGCAGAGATTAAATAAAACATAGAATATTACACACTTTAAACTAACACATTTAAAAACTAAGCTGAATGAAACTAATTCTTTTTTTAAATCCTGACCTGAGGATATTTTCTCAAATATCTTCAGATAGAGTGGAAGAGAAGGAGGGAACAAGGAAGGGGGGGGGGGGAGAAAGACACATAGATGTAAGAGGGACACATCAATTGGTTGCCTCCCACATGACCCTGACCAGGGTGGGGGACAGAACCAAAACTGAGGCACGTGACCCTCAACCATAATCAAACCCACGACAGTTTGGTCCACAGGCCAATGCTCTAACCACTGAGAAACACAGGCCAGGGTGAAAGAGAGTAATTTTTTAAAAAATAAACTATCAGATTTTTCCAACAGGCGGCGGAGTGAATGGAAGCTACACAGACCTTCTCCCAGGACCAAACTGGAATTACAACTAAAACACAGACAAATCAAAGGGAAAAAGCAACAGAAAAGCAGCTTGCGAGGACCATATAACCAGGGACACTGACTCCATCCCGGTAGGCTTGCGAAGGTGCGAGAAGGACGGGGGTTGGGAGCCCACAGTCCGCAGCCCGGCAGCAGCCTTAGCTGGGAGCGGCGTCCTCGGGTTACACTCCCAAGCAGCTCCACAGGGCAGAGCTGGGACAGAGGCTGAAATAGCCACAGCCGCTCACCTTGGGCACCCACAGAGGGAGGGCAGACTGGACTGGAACAGTGTGAGGACACTCGGGATTTGGAGGGCACTCAGAGCTTTTGCAGAGTTGCAGCAACGCAGGACAGTGGCCATATTGCTCCTTCCCAGGGCTCTGGGGACAGGCAGCAGCCCCTCCCTCCGGGATTCAACCTCACCCAGTACACCATTTGGAAATGCAAATTGAGGCTCATTAACAACTAGCATCTGCCCTACCCTCATGAAATCCCCTTATGTTGAGCATCTGAGGGAGTTTTTCAATCAACTGAAAACCTAAAAATTTTCAAGTAACCTGGACTGCTAGCCTCTAGGCAAAAAGCTAGAGGATAACTGTACCTTTCCTGGGCCAGCAACTCTAACCAGGAAAGTAAGACTTGACAGTGGTGTTTAACGTGAGTCCTCTCTCGCTCATCTAAACCAGGAGAGGGAGCCACAAACAGCAGAACACCAACACGCACAGGGAAAACTTGGCAGGCTCCAAAGCCCACAGTGATAGCCAAAATGGTGAAACACAGAAACAAAAGCCAAATGAAAGAACAAGAGACCTCCACTGAAGATGATATCAATGTGGAGCAGTTAGGCATATTAACAGAGCTAGAATTCAGAGCCATGATCCTGAGGAAGCTCAACAGCATGAGTAAAGACACTGAGATGCTGAAAATAAACCAACTGGAAATTAAAAACAACCAAGAAGACATCAGGAATGACATATCACAAATAAAGAACACACTGGAAGGTCTAAAGAGCAGAGTAGAGGAAGCTGAGGACCGGATCAGTGAATTAGAAGACAGGGTAGAAAATAATCAACCAATCAAAAAACCAAAAGGAAAAAATGATTAAAAAACAGGAAGACAGCTTAAGAGAACTGTGGGACAACTGGAAACGTAATAATATTCACATCATAGGAGTCCCCGAAGAAGAAAATGAGCAAGGGTTAGAGAATATATTCAAAACAAATAGTGACAGAAAACTTCCTAATTTGGTGAAGGGAAGTTATTCAAGTTCAAGAAGCACAGAGAGCCCCAAGTAAGAAGAACCCAAACAGGCCCACACCAAGACACATAGTAATTAAAATGCCAAAAATTAACGACAAAGAGAGAATCCTAAAAGCAGCAAGAGATAAGCAACAGGTTACCTACAAAGGAAACTCAATAAGGCTCTCAGCTGACTTCTCACAAGAAACACTACAGGCCAGAAGGGAATGGCATGAAGTAATCAAGGTCATGAAAAACAAGGATCTGAATCCAAGACTACTCTACCCAGCAAGGCTATCATTCAAAATAGAAGGTCAAATAAAGAGCTGCCCCAGACAAAAAAAAAGGCTAAGGGAATACATTAGCACCAAACCAGCACTACAAGAAATGTTCAAAGCACTGCTGTAATTAGTAGAAAAAATAGGAACAAAAATGGCAATAAATAAGTACATATCAATAATCAACCTTAAATGTAAACGGACTGAATGCTCTGATAAAAAGACACAGAATAGCTGATTGGATAAGAAAGCATGACTCATCTATATGTTGCTTACAAGAGACCTACCTCACAACGAAAGACTCACATAGGCTGAAAGTGAAGGGATGGAAAAAAATTTTCCAAGCAAATGGAAAGCAAAAAAAAGCTGGGGTAACAATACTCATATCTGATAAAAATAGATTTAAAAATGAAGATCATAACTAGAGACAAAAAAGGCCACTATATAATATAGAAAGGATCTATCCAAGAGGAAGATATAACCTTGAAAAACATATATGCACCCAATTAGGAGCACCAAAATATATTAAAAACCTTTTGGAGGACTTCAAAAGAGAAATCGACAGCATTACAATCATAGCAGGGGACTTCAACACGCTGTGAACATCACTGGATAGATCCTCTAGACAAACAATTAGCAAGGAAACAGAAAATGTAAATGAAGCACAAGACCAAATGGAGTTAATAGATATCTATAGAGAATTACACCCCAGAACTACAGAATTCACATTCTTCTCAAGTGCACATGGGCCATTCTCAAAGATACACCACTTGATAGGACACAAACTAAATCTCTACAAGTTCAAGAAGATTGAAATCATATCAAGCATCTTCTCAGATCACAATGGCATGAAACTAGAAATCAACTGCAACAAAAACATGCAAAGGCATCTGAACAGATGGAAGCTAAATAGCATGTTATTAAACAATGAATGGGTTACCAAGGAGATCAAGGAAGAAATTAAAAACTTCCTGGAAACCA